GTAGGCTGCAGATGCCTCCATCAGATCCATTCCATGTGTTGGTTAGATGTGCTGACTTCCTCAGAATCCTAATCAACAGGTAGGGGGCCCAGGAACTGCATTTTAACAAGTTCCTTGGGTCATTCTTAGGCAAAGTTAGTCAAATGACTAAATCAGGGTCCTCTTTAAGGTGGCTCCCAGTGTGGCATCAGGGAGCAGAGATAATCTTTATCTTAGAAGATGCCACTGTGTTCCTCACTCAGGCTGGAAATGCCTTCAAACCAGCAATTAGAGAAGCAATGTCAAAGAAAAACTCAGGCCTGAGACTCACACACTTGTAGCAATTCACCCAGGTGTCTGGGGACCTACTATCAACCCTCTCTGCCAAGAGACAGCAGGGCTGGGCTGTCACCAAGGGCAGGAAAGGTGGGAGGCACTTCCACCTTCCAGGCTGAGTCCCCCAGCCCTGGAAGTTGGTGAGATAGTTGTCAAACGCAGCCCCTGGTAAAAAATTAAATTACATCAACTTCCAATGAAATAATTACATTAAAAACAAAGGTAATAAATACTCAAAGCTTGTCACTTCCTAATTGTTTTACTTTGCTTTAACAGTTGGCTATGCTTTCACAGTCATTTACCTCTATAGACCCATAGAGGGGCCATGCTACATGATGATCCTTGGCTGCATCTCTCTCCCAAATTCACCTTTGGTGACATCATATTGGTAACCTTGAAAAAGGCCACAGTGGGAGTATTCACACTATGGAAATCTGCAAACATTACACACCACGGTTTGAGTTATTATGTTTTTGGTTGTTAGACTTAAGAAAGTGATGGAGAACCTGCTAATAATGTAGATTAAACTTGTGTCTGTAGCTGTTACATCGTGAAATGGTGCAAAAAATTGAGGAACTGTTCTTCCAGTGTTCGAAAAACATTATCTGATTGAGCAAAGTCATTGCTGTCGTTGAGGAAGGAATGAAGTTCAGACATAAATCTTTGTTTCACTTTCTTTCTGCTGTTTAAATAAAAATATGAAACAACATTCTTTTCAGAACTATTTTCATTTGTCAAATTGCAACCACAGGTTGGTTACTGAGTTTGGCAGAAGTCACAGGTACTTGGTAAGAATAGATTGCCTACCTGGAATTTAGAGTATTTTGTTTGCTTGTTTGTTTTTGCGGTACGTGGGCCTCTCACTGTTGTGGCCTCTCCCATTGTGGAACCCAGGCTCTGGACGCGCAGGCTCAGCGGCCATGGCTCACGGGCCCAGCCGCTCTGCGGCATGTGGGATCTTCCCAGACCGGGGCACGAACCCGTGCCCCCTGCATCGGCAGGCGGACTCCCAACCACTGCGCCACCAGGGAAGCCCAGTATTGTATTTGTTATCTGCAAAACCGTGTGCTACACTTCTTTTACTTCCGTATTCATAATAAACTTACGTATGGATATACAATGCACACATTTTCCCTGGAGAGGTGACTAGTAAACATTTGCTAGCACACAACTGCTCTTTGTAGGGGTAAAAATGAAGAAATGCCCAAACAGGGACACAGCTTTAAAGCTGTGTGATGAGCATGTCCTTCCAGGCCTGTCATGGTTGCTCTGTATAAACCCAGTTGGAAATAATGTCAGAAGCTGAAATTGGGGCTCTGTGTGAGTGTGAGTGGAAGGCCCCGAGGAAAGGCAGCCTGGTCCTGGCCCGCAGCCTCACGAACTCACAGTGGAATTAGGTGCCCTGCAGCCTGGGGCTCGGCAAAGCATAGCAGGGTCACTGCGGCAGGTCTCCCACGTGCCCAGGCAGGCAAGGCAACAGGGGCTGTCACCCTCTGCGCATAGGCAGGAGAATCTCTGGGACTCATTTCTATTTTTTCCCAACTCCCCTTTATGGAGCAACTGCAGTGTCCTCGGGGGTGGGGTGTCTCAGTGGTCAGGTGGCGGTGACCAGAACTCAGAGCACTTGGGGCGGCTGGATTTCACACTTCTTGTCCCAGGGCTCTTTCCTTCCAAACCTTACGTACCATATGCTTTCCAAGAGTATGGTGGCAACTAGCTAATTTCACAGGAGATACGTGGAAACCCCTGAATTCACCTAGTCCTCCCTGGTCATTCTAGATGGGAAGACTCAAGCCCAGAGAGGGCAAGAATCTGCCCCAGGCCACACAGTGAGTCGACAGCAAAGCCAACCCCAGAACCCCGGCATCTGCTCGCAGACAGGTGGGCTTTCCACACCAGCATCTGCTTTCATCCCAACTCCTGGCCAGCTTGTGCCAGAGTAGAGGGACGCGAGGGGCTTCTGAGCAGGGCTGCCCTTAAGCCCCTCAGCTCCGGCCCAGCCCACTTTACCTGCTCCTATTACCACTGCATCATACTCCGGCTTCAGACGTCCCCTGGTGTCGGAGTGAGCTCGTCTCCAAGCGGGGTGGGGAGAGGCGCCCACGACCCTGCGGAGCCCTCGGCCACATGCAGCCATTTCTGCCCTGGGCTAGGCCAAGAATTTGCTTGCAAGCAGCTTTTCGTGCCTCTCCAGGCAGGGGGAGGAGCAGGGAGAAAGCAGAAAGAGAGAAGGAGCTGCAGCCCAGCTGCCGTACTTGGCCCTGGGCCATGACTAAACAGGGGACGCTGAGCTGCCCACAGCCTAGCCTGGCCCCGTCCACACTCGGCCAAGTCGCGGGAGGTCGCCTGTTAACCAGGCAGAAGTCCTGCGCCTCCAGACCTCCGGAGAGTAACCACCATGCTAATTCTCTAGGGCTCCTGTGTGCCAGGCCCTGTGCTGACCACGGTCGTGAAGCCTCTCGTGTAAGCCCCAGACGAGGGGCACTGAGGGTCAGAGAATGTGCGTGTGTGTGTGTGAGAGAGCGTGCAAATGAGTGTTCCAAAGGCCCGTCTCCTCCCCTGTGCTGTCCTGCTTCTGGTTAAGGAATTAACCGGATGAGCTGGGGGTGGGAATCCAAGTAAAGAGAGGGACTTGGGTCAGACTCTGCTCCAGCTTCCCGTCCCTCCGGCTTGCGGTTGGGGGGGCGGGGAACTGCTCTATGCCCACAGCAGGCTCAGGGACCCACTGCCTGAAGGCCTCTGAGGCAGGGCCTCTGCACTGCCGACACCAAGGCCTCAGCAACACTGTGGGGGCGGGCATCTGCCCCTGGGGCCCCCAGAGAGACACACGTCCTTGCTTAAATGCCATCCAAATGCTTAAATGCCATCCACTTCTCAGGCTGCCGCACAGCTGGAAAGGTCTGGGGGCCAGTTCAGTCCTCGTGATTTTGGGGGGTCGCCTTTTTCTTTTGAAGGCCTGAACATTTCTCTTCTGTGTTCTGGTACCTTTCCCATTTTCCAAGAATCCTCGAGGATTAAAGACCGCATTGTAAATATCTTTGGCTTAGTGCTTACTATCCTTTGGCCTGTCCTGAATTAGGAGTCTCTTTCTCTCCCTGCCCATTGGTTAGGACATTCCCCATATAGGAAAAAGCACCCTAGGGGCTGGGAGTTTCTGTACTGCTCTGACATCTAGAAACCTGTTATTAGAAGTGCATCTCAAAATTAGGAGAGTACATGGAAAGTCGCTTCTGGGTAAGAGGGACTTCTGGGGACACTTCTACTCTCGAATCAGACTCCCCTCCACACGCCACGTAAAGTTTACACCATGTGTGTCTCTGCTAAAATCCGAGTCAGCATCTTCCCTCCAGTGTTATTTATAATATTGAAAAACTAGGGGGGCTGGTTAAACTAGACATGTCACATCATGCAGCTGCTAAAAGTGAAGGGAAAGTATTAGGTGACAGGAGTGAGGCCCCTAAACAGCAGTGGGCTTCTACACTTAGTCTTCCCCTTCTGCTCCTCTGTACTTTCCCGATCATGTCATAATTCCTGTCCATAAAGTCATGACATTAAGGAGGAAGGCAGTCCCAGTCACCTCGTGACTCTGTCCCTCACTGCCACCTTCTGCGGACTTCAGCCCGCAGTGTTGCTCTAGCTCCTTCAGTATCTCCGGCCCGGCAAGCTGTTCACTTATCAGGAAAGATCAGTCTGTTCTTACAAATTTCAGCTCAAGACTGAAGGCATGGAAGGCCTGGCCGCACGCGAACCCACTGCCTCGCTGCGCTGTGTATTTCTGCCTCCTCAGTTCCCTCTGTCCCAGCTGTGGCCTCTCGGCCCCAGAGCAGTGGATGCTCCCAAGTCCCAGGGCTCCGACGGCCTCTTGTCCTTGTGTCCGTTTGGGGGGACTTTCAGGTTAGAGGAAGGGCTGTACCCCTGGGGCAGTGCTCTCAATCCAGGGCACACCAGGACCCCTAGAGAAGCTTTGAAAAACCTTAAAGCCTGGGATCCACTGGACCGAGTGACACGAATCTCTGGGGCGGGGCTGGGGCAAGAGGCAAGAACCAAGAAGGGCACAAAGAGGCCACCGAGAAGGGCCAGGGGCTTGAACAGTAACAATAACCATAACCAGCATTTATTGAGTGGCTGCCGAACAGCCGGCAGCCCCACGACCATCCTGAGAGATGGGTGCCGTCACTCTGAATGTGGGGAGACAGGCTGAGAGGTGGGGAAACCTGCCCAGAGCCGCAGAGGGGGCGTGGCAGAGCTGGAGTTCAACCCAGCCAGGAGAGCTCCTTTCACCTGGGAAGGGAAATGGCTTCCTGGGAAGCTTTCTCTATTCTGAGAACAGCAGACACCCACAGGCAGTGGGGACTTCCTCTGTCTCCTAGGGGTAAACGGAGAGGCAGCTCCAAAAGAGGAGCTGCCCTGGGTCTAAGCTCACAGCCACTGCTGTTCTAAAGAGACCAAAGGAAACCTCTGGCCCTCCTCTCCCTTCAGAGGGAAGGATTTGGGGGTTTGCTCGTTACCCGGAGTGGAGGCTGGTCTAAGTGGAGTTTAAGAAACTCTGGGGCCGCCCTGGGGACTGTGTCATCCTCAGGAGGCTGCCGTGCACAGGAGGCTCTCACCATGGGGATGTCTGCAAGCCAGGTGGGCCTGGAGAACTTGGGTGCACGGGCAGATGCACGGGGGAAGCCCACCCTGGCCTAAAGCAGGGGGACACGGGAGGCCTCGCCCAGGCGCCGGGCCAGCTCGCCGGCCTGCTGCACCAGCACGTCCGTGGGGATGACCGACAGGTGGAGGGTCAGCAGCTCATGGCACCTGACAGCCTCAGCCGGGTGGCCCTTGCTGTAGTAGCGCAGGAGCTTCCTGGGGGAGGGAGGAGGGAGGAGGACAGGATTCAGGAGGGAGCCAGGCCAAGGGGCCTTCCCGGCACTGCACAGGTACAAGGTCACCTCACTAGGCCCCGGCACCGGGCCAGAGAGGCCTTCCCTGCCCCTCGCTGACCCACCTTACAGCCCAGGCTGCCACAGCCCAACCCTCTAGGTTCCTGATCCTGGAATGGGGTCCACTAGATGGCAGGGCCCCATCTATGGGGCACACAGAGCCGTCAGGGAAGGTCTTCAGGAGCCCAGCAGAGATGCCTGCAAATGCTGCCTCGATGTGCCAGCAGGAGAAGGGCAAGAACCCCAACAAGCGCCCCACTCTCTTCCTCTCACTGAATGCCTGGCTGTGAGGAGCTTCTAACAAGGGGAGACAGGCTCAGGGGGATGTTCCTGAAGGACAGGCTGCACACTCTGTGGGGACTAGCACTGATCTCCCATCATCTGTTCCCCTCTGTGCCCAGGGCCCTCTGGATCGGCGTCACCTGTAGTAGTCTCCTCCCAGCATGCCGACGGGAGCCGAGTCATCGGACAGGACAGGCACCTCGATGATCTGGAGTTTGTACCCCTGGGGAAGGAGGCAGGGCGTCTTGAGTGGGGAGGTGGTGGGTGTGGGGGGAAGAGCATGGGCTTGAGCCAGACACACTCGGTCTGAGGCCGGGCTCAGCCCTGCTTGGCGTGTGCCTGGTGCTGGAAAAATGCACTGGCCTCTTTTTACCTTGTCTTCTCACCTGTGAAGCGGGAATAAGAATAAACTCCCAAAGAACATTAGACATGGATGTAAAGTTCCGAGCGT